GAGTGTGTCTGGGTGCAGCTTCTTCTGTAGCGACAGGGAAGGCGAGAAACTGGGAGGCACAGGGAGGCTTTGTTGCGCAAGTTGCAGAAGTTGACAGGTATGTGACATCTTGTACTGTTAACATGTGAGGGTTGGGACCTCGTCCTCTCTGTCACAATCCTGTGTCATGTCACAGTTCAATCTACAGTCATTGACTTGGGGCTAGATTGTGTATTCCACATGGGAAAACAACCTCCAGGCACATCAAACCTTTTGACATTGCAGTATGACATTGTCATTTACAAAGTTCACTCTTGAGAATCTCCACAGTGGAGTTAAATAAAAAAACTTTTAAAGCCGGGCGTGGTGGCGTACACCTTTAATCCCAGCACTTGGGAGGCAGAGGCAGGCGGATCTTTGTGAGTTTGAGGCCAGCCTAGTCTACACAGTGAGTTCCAGGATAGCTGGCGCTACAAGGAGACCCTGTCTCAAAAAGACAAAAAACAAAACAAAACAAAAAAACCAACTTTTAAGTTTTAAGTTCATGATTTTATGTTGTGCTGCATTCATATCCACCCTCAGCATCAAGGAGCCTGTGGGCCACACAGGTTGAACATGCCTATGTAAAGCCATTCCAGAAAACACAGGCATTCAGATGAAGTTCACAGGACCTTCCCAGTTCTACAGAGCCTACTTCACAGGGTGTTCTAGGTGTCAGTGAAACATGTGCACATAAAGTACTTAGCACCATCTAGCATAACAAGAATAGTCAATAAATCAAACTGATCATTTTAGAAGGTGCTCTCATACATCAGAAGTAATGTATAAGTCTGTAGGCCTTAAACAGTAAATTATTCCACTTAAAAGAAGCTGGGTAGTTCATCAACAGTGGGCTGTTTACCTGTAGAGAAGGTATTAATTATTTAGCCTTTCAGATAGAATTTTCTGTTGAAAAGGAAGGTATGACTCCCTGAATGAGATCCAAAGTTGATTTAGACTTTCATTTCTTCACATCTATTTTCTTGATCATTACATCATTCATTTGGTACACATGCACAAATGATCTATTATGCATCAGACTTTAGAGAATAGATAAGTCTAAAATTAGTAAACAATAAGATGATGCTTTACCATATTCTGAGGTGGAAAACACACGATCTGCAGACTAGTCTGAGCATTTCTTTAAATATTTTCATTACATTTATTTACTTGTGTGTGTATGTGATGTACATGTCTAAGAGTTCTCACATGGAGGTCAGAGGACAATTTGTTGGTTCTCTCCTTCCACCATGAGCTCCAAGGATCAAACTCAGGTCATCAGGCTAGTCAGGCTTGGCGGCAAGCACCTTTCTCCCCTGACCTATCTCACTGGCCCAGGCCAAGCTTTAATATACATTCTCCTTCAACATTTTTTCTAAGGTGAGCCATATTTTAGAGCAGGGGATTCCATACAAGTCCGGATATCCATTTTCCCTTAGAAAAGCAAGTGAGGTAGCAACATGAAGCCAGCATTCCCACTCGTTCCTGCCGGCAACAGCAGACAAGGACAGAGATCAAGTGGCTGCCTGCTACTCCAATCCTACACCCTTCTCACCAGGACCAGAGACGTAGTTTGAGGGGTACAGTGGGAGATGGAAATGAAGATCCCCTGTTCAAGATTAAGGATTTCAAGAAGACAACAGCAGAATTTGAGCCAGCAGGTGTAAGATATTTCTGAACAGAAGGGTGAGCAGCTATGCACCTGCCCTGGTCTACACAAACAGCAAGATGCTAATTTACCTAAGCACTCACTCGTTCATTGCTCATTCATTCAACAGTCAGGCCAGCATTTGAAACCAGACAGTATCCCCCTGAAATCTAAGGTTCAAAGCCCAGAGCTGTGGAGCTCAGTAATGGAGCTTAAGAGACCCAGAGTCTCTTTCTTCCTCGTTAAGGTTGGACCCACACCAGAGGTGCTAAGTGAGAGCTAATCCAAATAAAATTAAACTGCTCCCAACAAAACTGATTGGCCTGGGCCCTTCTGCTGGCATTACAGAAGCCTCGATTACTAATTCTGAGGACTAGCTCACAATCACTAATGAATAACCAAGTCCCATCGGCTGTGGAGACAAGGGCACAGAAGTGAGGGGCTGGCCTGAGAGAGATTTGAACATGAACCTGACCATCTGGCTCTCTGCTTCTCACTTTGATCACAAAATAAATTGCAACAAATTGAAGAGCACATGGCTAGAGTTAATTGTCTCATCTGTAATCTGAACCTACTTTTAAGCACTTATTATTACCCTCTATCAGGTGGAAACATTTCCTCCCATCACTGCAAAGTGCATTTTCCTGATGAACTGTAATGGATCATTAAATTCTGTATCTGAATAACAATACTTTGCACTTATTCCGTGCCTTTCATCCTGGGATTTCAAGGCAGTTTGCAAATAATTAAGCCCCTCACAGCAGCCAGAGGTGAGCGACTAGAAGGGAATTGCCTGAAGATTTGGAGTCAAAGGGCATAATTCAACAGAAAGAATGCAAGGCTTCCTCCCAGGCACAGGCAGTATTGAAAGTGAATTGGGGACTTGCCAACCCTTTCTGCCTCACCCCCCTACCCATGGCAGATTCTGAGATGCAACATAAAAAGAGAAGGGATAACAAGAGTGCTCATAATTTAGCTAGGAGTTAAGACACATACATGCAGGAGGAAAGGGCTATTTTCATGGACTCCCAGTATAATGCTGTGAACTGACATCTCACCCCCACTTGCAGAATGGACAGACAACAGATAGAGGAAGAATTTACTTATTTAGATGATCACATGGCAAATCTGGAGCCTCCTACAATCCAAACTGAAAATATTAACCAAAGCACTTTATTTCTTGGTTGCATATTCCGGTTCTGGTACCTGCTCTCCTTCATGTGAATGACATTCAAGTTTCAGGAATGGCAAATAGTCTAAAAGCGGGAAATCAATACATTTTTTTTAAAGACCAGCGTACTAGAAGCCATTCAAAGCGTGGTGAAATATAAACGCCTGGAAAACTGAATTATAATAGAAACCCTGACAGACCTTTTGCCACGGCCATTTGACTGCAACCCTGTCATTTAGCAATGTCTCTCAGAGACTAAAGACTAATTCTAACAAGATGTCATTTTTTTACTCCATTTACTATTACCTACAAGAGTGGGAAAGGCCATTTACTGGTAAGTCGCTGGAGGCCTCAGGATGAAACATCTCACATTCTAAGCAAGTGGCCTGCTGCCTCAGGGAAATAGCCCCCTCGGCCAGAGGAGTGGCAGGCAGCGGCTCACGGTCAGCTAGCTATTCATGTCAGCCAGAGCTGGCTCGGCATGCCTTTCCTACAAGTTACATTTTAATGATCTGAGAAAACCGTTATCAGAGTTAACATCTCTAATTTTACTCTAAACAGACAAAAGAAAAAAAAATCATCTCATTAGGGCAACATCTCCGCCAAGGTTCCCACTAAGCAGGAAAGGATTTTTTATCTAAAGTAATTACCCTTTTTAGTTAAATACACTCAGCAGATGAGATTTACAGAGTGAGAGACTGCAGCACTAGACAGCGAAGGTGAAAACCCAGGAACGTGGCGCCTGGCTGCCCGAGGGCCGCGGAGAGCCGCAGCTGGGTCTCGGGGGTGGGGCGTCCTCAACTCAGGTTTCTCGACGGCCACGGGAGGCAGCGACAGCGGTGCCTGACCGGCGGACTACAACAGGAACGCCTTGTTGCGCCACACACAAAACCACGCCGACCACAGCCGCGCAGGAACTTCGCGCAAGTTGCCAAACTTGCACACAAGCAAGGGCATGCGGGGGAGACCCCATGCGCCCATGCCCCGGGGGCCAGGGGTGCGCGGCCATTCGGATGCACACCGCCCTCCCACTTCTGCATCTTCTGCAAACCCTGGCCCGGACCGAGGTCGATCAGATGACCCCCTCTCTCGCGGGCACCTGGGGGAGTTCACGAGCGCCGCCCGCCGCCCTCTCTGTGGCGCTGGGCTCCTGAACACCCACAGGGAGAGCCAAGCCCGAGATCCACAGAGAGCCGCGGCGCGGGGAGATGCAGACAAGTGTCCCTTTGATAAACTCTTCTTCTGGGTGGAGCCCTGCGGCTCGGAGACACGTGCAGGTGTGGCTGTGCGCTGCTGGACCTGAGGACAGGGAGATGCTGAGAGTCCCTTTCAGAAGCCACGGGCTCAGAGGTGGAGCTCGTCGGGACACATTCGGACAAGTAGCCAGCAGGGATTCCTCCTAGGTCTGCGCCAGAGGCCCCAGCTGCCTGGTCCCAGAGCCCTAAACTTGAGCTTTGATGCCCCGCCAGGCGCGGTGGCCAGGGCCACCCGGCGGCGGCTGACAGCTGAGCGCAAAGGCACCGCGAGCGCTGTCATGCGGAGCAGCCAGGCGCGGACCCGGTGGGCAACGCAGAGGCCACGAGCCCGACGCGGATGGGCCGGCTGGGGCGCGGGGATTCCGGGGAGCGTGGTCTGCGGTTCCGGGAGCACAGGGGGCACGAACAGGGGAAGCGGGCTGGGGCCCGGGGAGTGCCGGGGTTGTGGGGAACCCCGGGATCACCGAGCTGTGGCTCTCCGCTCCGGTCCGAGGAGCGTGGGGGGCGAGGGCTGGGGCGCCGGAGCGCGGGCTGGGGCCTCTCCGCACCCGGGGACAGAACCGCGGGTCTGACAGCTGCTGCGGCTCGCCGGCCGCGCGTCTCCGGCCCGCCCTCCCTCCGCACGCCTGACTTATTACCCTCTGCTCCTCCTCCCCCTGCTGTTCCAAAACACCCGGCTGCGCGAGCAAAATACAATGCCGCCTCGCCCGCCGTAAACAGCCGGGCGGGAGGGCGCCCCGCCGCCGTCCTCCGCTCCGTTCCCACCCCCTTCCCGTTCCTAGAAAATGCCATCAAAGCGGCCGAGCGCCGCCCGGCTCCCCGCCCGCCGCGTCCGCACACCTCCGCTGCCCGCGCACTCGCTCCACGCGCGAACTTGCCCCGCTCTGCGGCCCGGCCCGGCACTCACCTCGCCGGGAACTTTGCTCGTTCTCCGCCGCTCCTCCACGGCTGTCCGGCCCGCAGCCCCTCCCGGCAGCCGGCGCGGTGGGCGGTTCTGGGGTCACCGAGAGCTGGCGGAGGGGATGCGCATCACATGGCAGCACGCTCGCAGCCCCCAGACTCGGAAGGGGGAGGGGACGTGGCGGCGGGGCGGGGACGGGCGGGAGCAGGAGGCCGGGAGACCGCAGCGGTAGCTGCTTGCTGTCTGCTCCCTGCTGCTGCTGCTTTCTGCTCGTTGCCTGCTGCTGCGGCTGCGACGGCTGCTGCTGCGGCGGCTGCTGCTGCTGCTGCTGAGGCGGCGGCTCGGCTGTTTGCTCCGCGCTGCGCCGCTCGCGCTCTCCCGGAACGCCCACACTCTCAATCGCTACATTGTTGACATTCGGCGCTGACGTCACCGGCTCCCCATTCACAATAACTTTACGGGAGCCGGGCAGCGCACCTCCCCGGCCGCTGGGGCGCCGTACGCCGGGCGACTAGCGTAAGCCGCTCCGCGAATGGCGCTCCCGGGGCTCGGGCTCTGCGGGCGCGCGCGTCGTCGGCTCGCGGGTGGGGGCGCGCCTCTCGCCGCCACGGCCGCCCATCTACCCGCTTTGTGCCGGCCGCGCGGCTCCAGAGCCCTCTGTTCCTTGCGGGGACGACCGCCTGGTTTGGCCTAGTCTGGCCTGGAGTTGAAAGGCAGGGATTGGGGGTAGTGGGATTAGGATAACGGCGAGGGCCAGTGTGGCACTATATCAAAGGGGGAACTTAGACCTTGGAACCTGGAATTTTTGAGTGTTTCCCTGAAGGGACAGGAAAAGATGCGCCAAGGATCCCTGCAAGGCTAACCTGGCCGTTTTGGAGAGGAGTGGGCTGCGCAACAATTGCTCCTCACTCTAGAGCGCTGTTGAGTCCTTTCCAGAAGGCCCGCTCCACTGAACTGGCATCCAAGCCCCCACACACGACCTATTGCCAAGTCTACAAGGACAGTCAGCTTTCCCAGCGTTAGTGCTCAGGCCCTCCTCCGTTGCATCCACTGTCCCCTGCCTGTCCCTGTGGACGCTGTCAGGGTGGTGTTGCTGCTCTTTAAGGCTAAGCAGTCCCACGACTGCCCTGTCAGAAGAAGGCTTAATGGCGGCGAACGTTTTTAAGAGAATAATTAGGATTTAAGCTGAACGTACATTTGCAATAAAATAGTGTGATAGTGTTGTCCTGGTTCCTGCAGCTTTACCCCTGGCCAGGGCCAGGAAACAGCCATGTTTCCCTAAGCACCTATAACTTGGTCCCCTTGTGTAAGGCAGTATTCCATATTATTACACGTGGTGCTGGTTTTTAATGAAGATTATAAAACTTTGGTTGGCTCTACTGAGAGAAGGATCATAAATCCCCCTGTAAAATGGGCCCTGGCATATGCTGAGGAAGCCGGGAAGTGTCACCCTGGGAGACTTGTGATATCATCCAAAGTGTTGCTTGAACCACCTTCACTTGAGGGCTCACTTGAAAGCCCCATTTCGAATGTCTGTGTGGAAAACTAAGCAAAGGCCCAATGCAGGAGGAAGGTGCTGAGCTAATTCTGACTGCTATTGAGCCTTCAGAGGTAGGTCTAACTCTACTTGGAGACTTTCTCTGCTAACTTCTGGCTTTCAGGTGAGGCAGAGTCTCAGGGCCAGGAGCAGCCTTGCTCTCTTTGTTTCAGATCTAATTCCCTTTGGGACAAACAGTCTTTTTAGGAAGTTCCTGCCCAACCTCTTGGCAGAATACTGAGTCTGGCCTGCCCTGCCCAAGCAGTTTCTTACAGTCATGGAGAATTCGGTTCCTATGGTCCTCATTCTTTTAAGTACATGTTGGTTAAAAGCTTTATGCATTTTAATAGCATCAATAAACATTTTTCTTACAAGAGCCAGGCTTGAGATCACTCCCTGTGAAGATGTATAAAGCCATTTCTTTCAAGCAGTCGGTGGCTGCCAGGCTGTGTGGAGCCGGGCAGAGCAGTGTTTGGGAGATGAAGAGGTGCTACTGCATGCAGAGCTTCTCCCTCATTCCTAGTTTCACATAGACACAACTATGGCTGGTAGGTGCTTTTCATTAGTCTACTTGCCCAAACACTCAGCTTTGGGGGCTTAAAATTCTCAAGTATGAGGTAGGACAGCCAGTAAGCAAAAAAGCAGCAATGCACATCCAAGAGATTGCATTATGAAATTTTCTTTCCACGGAGATTGAATGAAAACTATTAGGCTATAAACTTAAATCAAATTTCGCAGTGTGAAGAAGACAAAACCTTTGTCCTTCAGTTGCTTGAAGAAGTCTACTAGGGAGCTAGTTGTTTTATTTTCAGTAGCTGGAAGTAGGTTCTTGGAATCAAACGTTGAAAGCCCTACTCAGAGCTACATGAAACAGGAATGGTAAGTCAAGTGGCGGATGAGCTTTCCCCAGCACTGCCACTGAGGTCAGGCTGTGCACAGCCTCAGCACCTTCACTCTGCTTGTAGGCCACTCTCTGGACTGTGTTTACAATGGGAAACAGATGCAGGCCTTTGTCTTTGTAGATTTCTGCCAGCAACCTGAATAGAGGTCAATTTATTTCCAATGCCTGGAATGGCCAATCTTTTCTGATACACTTTTTTTCCCCTCCTTCCATGACTACCTGTGTGTTTTGAGCCTGAATATGCACTTTATCTGAGATACACTTCTATGCATGGTATGGTTTCCAAGGAGAGTGGGAATAGCTTCATACGATGACACCAAAGTTAACCCGCTTCATTTCTAGACATCACCTTGGTTTTATAAAATAAAAGAGAAAAAGGTAAGGTATGCAAACAAGCAAAGGGATGAGGAAAGGAAGACAGAGGGCAGTCTCAAAATCAGCCTTTTGTGCCACCTAGCATCCTATGCAGGATCTGATGGTATTGAGAAGACATGGTGATTTTTCTTAAGGAAATACGGTAGGCAGAATTTCAAATGTGATTCCTTGAATCCTTCAAAAGTGATGTAGGAGGCTAAGAGGAATAGCAAAAAGCCAAGAGGAGCCAAGTTACCTAAGGAAGCTCCACTAAAAAGGAGAATTCTCAGTGGGGTGAATGCCTCAGAGGCATTACCAGTGTTTACTGCTTCCAAACCAGATGTTATGAAACATATCTAAGCCATTAAAACCTCTGCTCAGCAATGCACAGGTGGAACTTCGGGGAGAATAGTGGGATTAGAGGTTTGAGTATGATTTGTTCAGCAGTTGTTGGACCACCTTCTCTATGATAAAAGCTGTTCTGCAAGCTGAGATAAGGTCAGGAGCAGAACCAAGCCTCAGCCCTCATTCCAATGAGATTGCAGTGGGGATGGAGAAAGGAAAAGAGCCGAACATATACACACTATGTTGGCAAGTTGTGCATTTTAATGTCTGACATTGAAGCAAATGCAGGTTGATGTTCCTCTTAGGTTTTAGGGATTTCTGCAGAGACATGACCTGGTCTCAACTCTAAAGGACCATTCTGTTTGCTAGGTGGAGAGAGCACAAGAATGAAAACAGACCAGGTAGAAGGCTGTTGACATAGGACAGAGACTAGAATAACAATCATAATTGGGATCTAGATACATTTACAAAGTAAGATAGTTTGCTGATGGTCCCACTGTGGAATGTGGGAGAAAAGGAGTCATAAGACATTCTGGATTTTCACCTGAGCAACTTAGTTGATAGAGATTCTGTTTAGTGACAAGGGGAATATGATGTGAGTGAACACGTAGGGAAAGCCCAGGTAGTTGATTTTAGATGCTTACCAGATATCTAAGTGGAAAGTTGAGCAAGTGATAAGATACAGGAATTAAAATTAAGGAAAGATGTTCTGAGTAGAGATCAAAATCTGTGTGACAGCACCATAGGGCATCTGAGAACATGGAGTAAGAAGAGAAGAGGTTAATGGCAGGGGAAGAGAAGGAGCAAGGAGAAGAGGGGAGGAGAGAGGAGGGAGGGGGCAGGAGTAGAGTGGAGAGACCTCAAGCAACCCAATATTAAGAGAGAAGGAAGATGAAGAAAATGAAGATGATCCAACAGATGAGCCTGAGAAGCAGCCATAAGGGGATAGGAGAAAGGTGGGTACAGCATTCTGGAAGCCAAGTCAAGTGAAAGAGCACAATTTGAAAAGTAGGAAGTGATCAGTTGAGCCAATGCTGGAGAGAGAGAGAGAGGGAGGGAGGGAGAGAGGGGGGGAAACACCCATGTTGACTTTTACATTCATAGACCTGGAGCTCTTGGCACAATGGAATGAACCCTGGCTTGGGTGGAAGAGTGTAGACCAGTCTTTAAATGAACTTTGTTATGAATGGAGATGGAAGAATGAGTGGAAGGCTAGGGAAGAAATGAGAGCTTACTGGAAGTGAATAATCCCTTCAGGGGTTAAACTGGATATTAAGACAGAGGGGATGACTTCTACAGTGAAATTCTTGAATCAGAATCTATTTAAAGATAGAGCCAGTACATCTCTAGCAATGGGCAGAAAATGGGCTAGGAGGGAGCCTGGATTGTATAGGACTATCCAACAGACAGACTGTGGATAGACACCATCTTCCCAAGCTTGGTTGCACTGGCTTGCCCGGGATCATCACAGGTAAGACTTGTTGACTATTATACTCCACAAGAAAGGAAAGGCAGGGACAGTCAGCCACACCTCCCAACCAACCAGTTGAGCCTAGAGCCTAGAGCGTGAGGGGCTAAGGGTATATAAACAGGAAGAAGAGGGGAGGTACTCTCTGCCTTTTTGTGCAGCTGTGGGGAAGTTGCCATCCATACTGGGATGAAGACTTTACCGGACCTTAGGAGGGGAGCACCCACACTCATGTACGCAAACCTTCACCCATTACTCTGTAAGTAAGCCCAGTAAACTCAGTGGTTTCTCCGACTACAGTTTGGCAAATTGTACGTCTGTTTGTTGTAGGGACCAAGGGAGGAGGGGACCAGATTTTGTTTACACCTCCCAGTAGGAATTTTAGAGGCAGGCTCTGTGAAGTCTGTGAAGTACGTCTGTGGGGCTATTTGGCTCTCGTTCCACACAAGGACTATGAAATGAGTTTATCAGTAGATAATGGAGGAAGGCAGGATGTGGGAATTGGGGGAAAAAAGAAAAGTATTAGTGCCAAGAGATATAACAGGATTGCTGGGCAACACAGAGGACCTTGGAGGGTGTTT